TTGGGAAGAGCAGACTGGGATCTAGATTTTCATGCCGCCCAGGGGTGGATAGGGACGTATTGGAAGCGCTCAGGCTACAGAGACCAGCTAGTCTTGGTACAGTATTATTTTTCCTTCTGCCTGCATGCCCTGAGCACCCCGCTGGTCATTTGTGTGCTGGTGCTGAGAAGTGTAGGACTCGAGCGGCTCAGATGAGACAATGGAGTGTCTATTTATATTAAGTGAATCCCCACTTTCCCCAAGCCAGGACTTGGAGAGCCTGAGTTCACACCGACCCAATGCTCCTTAGCTCTTTACGTGAAGAAAATAAGTACGGCAGAAGCAGATGCTATTTGCTATATAGATCTCCAGATGTTCTGGGTAGTGATCCAAAACTTTTACTTGGGATATTACAGTACTAGACAACTTTTTTTTTTCTGGTGGTGTTCCAGTAAGTGCCAATGCTGTTTGTGATTCTTTTCCAGTGTCATTAAGAATTTGGGCGGTGGTGATGTGCAAAATTCTGATTTGTACCTGGAAGCAGGTGGTATTTTTTAAGTTAGTTCCTACTTTAAGGACAATGCTCTGTTAATGAAAAAAGGATCCTTTTCACAACTTCGGTGTATTGTAGATTATAATGAAAGATGTAAAATATTCAGGCTTTTTTCCTTTTTGGACTTTGTATTTTACTGCATGTCTCTAATTTTTAATCAATAAAGAACAAATTGTCCGTTATCTTGTGTTAGGTGTGTTGTTGTAGTGATGCTGAATTGGGTGGTGTTTCTTGGGGATGGGGCCTGAGGGCTTGTCCAAAAGGCGTCTACGCCAGCTGGTGTGAGTCTGCTCCTTGCAGCAGGAGGTTTGACACCCCTCAGGAAGGCGTGGTGGGGAAGGGGTGGGAATGGTCTGCAGGTATCCTGTGTGCAGAGCTAGGACCAGGAGGAGGATGCCTTTTGGATCATACTCAAGGGCTGGTCTCTTGCTGAAACAGTTGTTCCATGCTTTGCAAGCCCTGTGTGGCTGGGTATGAGCTTCCCTTTTCTGAGAACATGTAAGGTTGTCATAGGCTGCCTTTCAAGTGAGATAGTTTATGCTGTGGGAAACATGTGAAGCATCAACAACTCCCCTTCTCTCAATTTCCACAGTATTTTTTTTTTTAATGCCTTTAGATCTTATCCGAGGGCATGTCTGAGGTCTCTCCCTACATTTGAAGTGAAGCCAAGACTTTAACAAAATGCATTGAAGGTGGGAGGCAGAGCTGAGGCATATCCACCTACCACATTATCCTGGTGACTCTTCACTCTAGTTGGGCTGTTCATCTTTGTGAGCAGCAATATCGCTGTCTGCATCATGCTTGTGTGCCAGCAGTTCTGCAGTGGGCTGTGAGAACAGGAAGGGGCCTGGAGTGAAAGGCGTTGAGTGTGCGGGTGACAGGATTCTTGGCAGACTATCAATAAACCTCTTATCACAGAATGAAAACTTCTGTGACCTGGTACTGAGCAGTTGTCATCATCATGATGTCAGTCTTTCCTCACAGAGCCAGGAACCTTTAACCTGAGTGAAGGTAACTTCCAAGGTTAGTACGTGGAATGGGAAGGGCTGTTTGGGGTCATTGAGCCTGGTGCGCCGTGCCTATGAGACAACTTCTTAGCAGTCTCTCCAGTAATTGGCTAAGCCATGTTTAAGAAGCCCCAGAGAATTATATCACTCTCTTGTCTCCAGTCCTTTGCAAGATGGTTTTTGTAGCTGCCTTACACCAGTGCCTCGTGGTCCTCGGCAGGTGACCGATCTGTCCCAGTTATTCCTCTCCTTGGACATTCCCCTTTATGGGTGCTTACCATGAGGTGTCTCACGCTTGCATTTTGTCTATATTCTGCCTTAGGTTGTCCTATCTGTCCCTAATGTTGGTTAAACTCAATAAAAAGATTTGCAGTGTCAATGCTTTCTGCCTTTTGATATGGAAACAACCTGATCTTCCTTACCTCAGTGCATTAAACTGCAGGAGGTTATTATTTTTTCCTAGAGTTTGTCTCCATCCTTGAGCCTGTCAACCTCCTCCTCATTGAAAATCAATTGAAAGATTTGCCAAGTGATTACTCGTTAATCCTTTGTCTTTAGCCTTGCTACCCTTTTTCTTTCCTCCTCCTCTTTTACATGGACTTATTTGAAGAACCTGTTGCTCTTTGCTCATATCCTTTAAGAGGAAAGTCATCATGACTTTGGTCACTTATTTTGTCCCTGTGTGCTCAGCAGGGTGTTTTAGGGTTTGAGAAATACATGGATAAAACAAAGATGTCCAGTGCATTGCTGATGTTACCCTTCCACCCCCCACCCCCACCCCAAAGGGCACTAGCTCGCCCTCTTGCTCAATCTTTCTTTCCTTTGATTTTCCCTGCTCATCTTACTACTTTATGATCACAGTCTCACAGATTTCTCTCCTCCCAAGTGATGGGTTTGCAAATAGAAAATAACTTCCCCTGGAGGGTGTGCAGCTTGTGGAATTTCTGTTTCACTTAATGGGAACACACTGTGAGAAGAAATCCAAACACAGTGCCCTGCTCTTTCTTCAAATTTACATATTTTTTGCGGCTGCCTGTGGCTGCCTAGAGCTGCGGGGCTTATTTTGGACTTAAATACTGGTTGAAGCCCCTGTCTCTTCGTAGACCCTGCTGACAGCCTACCTGGAGACAATGCTCATCCTGTGCTTTCGCTCTGGCACACGGGCTCTGCCTAGAAGTGCAGTAGATGGATTCTTCCTGATCTTTCCTCAGGCCTTGGAGATGTATCATGGGCACATGGGCAGGTCCTCAAGAGCCCCTTGAGGCCTCAGCGTACCTGCTGGGGGGTGTGAATCCGACCTGATTAACCACTGCTGCCTCCTCCCCTGTTGTTGGAAACCTCCAGCAAGGGGTTTCCGCTCTTTCTCTTGGTTGTTGGTCCAGGCCCCAGGTGTCCTCCGTGCTCCTGTAAATGTGGTGCCAGCTCTGTCTCCTGTGCTCCACGTTGGTCTTTCCAATGCCAGGCAGAGCAGAACACCTTCCTCCCAGGTCCATGTTTTACCAATCATGAAATACATAGTAAGAAAGGCCAATGTGCTACTGAGTAACCCCTGAAGAAAAGAAGCACCAGTTTCCCCTGCTGACCTTTCCTTAACAGATTTCTTTGCTTTTCTGGTCATATGATCTCCTCCTCCCACCTCCCTCCTGTCCCAGGCTTTGCTTGGCTATGCAAATTTCTCTGTGATTTTTGTTCTGTGGCCAGAGGCTATTCCACGCTTTTCTCATCGTTATTGCTTGAGTGCCTCACTGCACTGTTTCTCCTGAAAGCTGTAGCTACTCTTACTCCTGGCAGCATTGTGCCAGTCCTCTGGCTCCTCCTTGTCCAGATCCAACAGTGCTGTGACTGACCCTCCTGGATTGTTCCCATTTAAACCATGTCAGAAGAGAGCAGATGGTGCTGCTTTGTGCTCTGAACTCCTTCTAGGCCAGAGCCAAGAGACAGCCAGGGCAGAAAGCTGAATCAGGACTGGAAAAGGCTCTTGAGCTCCTGTTTTTATCGAAGTTCAGCCTGTCCGGTTTCCTGCCTGTGGGGTAGAGCCCATGATGAACCTGGGCACCTTGATTTCATCCGCCATCTGAGCTTGCCAATTAAGTTAGAATCAATTTGTGTCAGCCAGCATCTCTGCCTGCTTGAAGGTCTGCCTGCGTAACGCCATCTTTGGTATGCATTGCCTGCATCTGCTAAGCAGGGCTTATTTTGAGGGCAGCATCTACCCTCAGCTGCATCAGCATGGGCACCACCCGCCCAGGAGCTGGGGTGTCTGTGAGTTTCCTCTGGGGAAGGGCTTGCCCCATTCTGGTGAACCCATGTGGGGCAGCCAGGGTCTGATTTCCATTATGCTTCTGTACAAATAGTCTTTGATGCCTGATCGTTGGTCTCTCCCCTCCCATGTGCTGAATGTACAAACAAAAACTATCTTTTCCTGGAGCGTATGTGCCCGTGTTTCCTCAATGCTTTCCGAGGGTTGCAAGTTTGGAATTTGTGTCTATCCTAATGAGAACACAGAGTACAGATCCCCGCCTGAACGCTCTGCACCTTACTCTTCCCTCCGATCTGAGGGCAGGAGAAGGAGCATCTGAGTTGCTTTTGGGCACCTTCTGGAGGCTTTACGGCCTCGTGGAGCCTCACCTGAGATCCCAAAGGGATGCCAGGCTGTTCCCATTTCTGGGATGAGCTGAACAGAAATGGTCTGAGCCTCATGTTTTCAAAGGTCATTTTAGTGCATGGAAGCATTTGAACTGAGATTTGCAAAATCTGCTTTGAGCAGCACTGGCCTGTGCCAGAGATATTTCTGCCACCTGCAAGACAGTGCCTACATGCCTTCCCCAGATCTTTCCTGCATATTGCCCTCCACCAGCCTACGGAGTAGCCCAGAATTCGTGTGAAGGGCAGATGTCCTGTACATGGCTTGTTTGCGGTTGCACAGGGAAGCTGCAAAAGAGGAAGGAAATGGAGTTTCCCTTGTCATAGGTTGTAGCCAACTGGCTGGCCACCCTTCCTTGTCTCCTGCTCTGCTCACCCATTAGCATCACCCCATTTATTCTCCTGGACTTTTCCCAGCTCTGCGTCACGCTGCACTGACTTGGCCCCTCTGAAGCTTGCTTGCCCAAGCAGTGGAGCTGACGGGGACATGCAGTTGTTTCAGCACTTCAGCAAATCCAGCAAATACTTCGAAAAAGAGTCTTTTCCCAAGTCAATGACACCCAGTCCTGGCAGAAAGGCAATCCAGGTCTCCTGAATCGGGGGGTCCTCTGCCGTACCCATTAGCATACACTGTGTGTTACTGGGTGGCACAGAGATTATTAATATTACACAGTGTACTTATGATGGGTAAAACACCAGGCATAAAGTCTATCCTAACAAAAAACCACGTATTTGCTGAGGCTGCCTACGTCTGCAGAGCTTATCTTGGGTTTAAATATTAATTCCAGCCCCCAGGAAAGTCTCTCCCAGCACTGTCCTGCTCCAGACAAAGCTGACGATGTCAGGCACTGGAGAACTTTTAAAAGTGGCTGGTGATTTTGGACCATTTCAGAAATGGCTGGTTGTGCTAACCTCCCTTCCGTGCCTCAGTGTATCTTTCCACCAGTTTTGCCAACTTTTTATGGTCCCAGATGTGCCTCATCACTGCGATACCAGCTGGATCCAGGCAGTTGGCCCCAACCTGACTGAGGACGAGCAGCTGAACCTCACTGTCCCCCGGGATGCAAATGGGGCGTATGAGCAGTGCTCCATGTATTCACCTGTGGACTGGGACCTCAACTCCATCATGGTTTATGGCCTGAATGCCACACAGAAGTGCAGCAACGGCTGGGTATATCCTGCAGACCATGAGGTGACTCTGGTCACTCAGGTTTGTAGCATTCTTTGGTTTCTAATTGCTTTCTTTGTGCTGTAGTAAATGATATTTTGCAGGCTGGGGTGTCCCGAGCTCCTGCCAGACCTGCATGGAGATGATGCTTATGCTGGACTTTGGCTTCAGTGCACAGGCTCTCCCTGGAAGTGCAGCAGATGGATTCCTTCTGATCTTTCCTCAGGCCTTGGAGATGTATGTCACGGACACATGGGTTGGGCAGGTCCTCAAGAGGCCATCTCAACCTACCTGCTGGGGGGTGTGAATCCGACCTGATTAGCCACTGCTGCCTCCTCCTCTGTTGTTGGAAACCTCCAGCAAGGGGTTTCCGCTCTTTCTCTCGGTTGTTGGTCCAGGCCCCAGGTGTCCTCCCTGCTCCTGTAAATGTGGTGCCAGCTCTGTCTCCTGTGCTCCACGTTGGTCTTTCCAATGCCAGGCAGGCAGAACATCCAGGGTACCAGTTCATCTGCATCAGGGTTGAGATTATTTTGTGTCCAAGGAAGCTTCCCATGCAGGCAGACATCAAGAAATGCTCTGGCTTAAAGGATTGTCTCTCTCCCTTGACTGGAATTCACTGCCTTTCTCTGCCCGTGCCAAATGACTCAAATGTATCTCCTCTTAGACCAGGTCACTGGCTGAGAAGTGACCCCAGCTAGGATATTTGCTTCCTCTTCCTCTTGGACCTTTTGAGACAGCCCGTGACCAATTTGTGGGGAGGAGGTGGCTTACGGTCCCCCTCCTCTCTATTGCACTGGTTGGGGGTGCAGTTCTGCAATGGTGAAGAGTTAGAGGGCACCTTCCCCAGGAGGTGTTTTGGGAGAAAAATAGTTTCTTCTTGCAAGAAATCAAGGGCAAATGGGACCTGGGTGTGACAGGAGATGGGGCAGGGTATTTGCAGGATCTGGGCTTCAGCACTAACTCTCATTGATAAGAGTCAGGAGACCATCATTTATGGTGCTTCTCATCTCCTTAGCTCTTGCTTGTCAGATCCCTTTCTACAGACTTTGTTCTGGTTGCTGGCTCAGGACCTTCCCAATGTGAGGTTGGGAAGGAGAGGGAAATGCCCTCTTGTCAAAGGGCAGGGTTTGGGCCCCTGATGCCTCCAGCCCCATGGCCAGAACTTCGGGTTGCAGCACTGGCAGTTGGGGTCACTGACACTGGGGCTGTGCTGATTGTTTTGGTGCTCCCTGCGAGGCCCCCATTGCAACAGGAGCTGCCTCACCTCTCCTTGCCTCATGCCTCCTTGCCTCAGGGGGCATGGCCAGCCTTGGCTCTGCCATCCCTCCGTACCTCAGATGGTCCTAGCCCTGGCTTTGGCTCTGGCTTTCCCTGGCCAGTTTCCTTGGCAATGGGGAGGTCCCAGGACATGAACCCAGGTCTCTACCAAGGGGTGAGGTTGAGAGGTTCTGACCTGAATGTGGACACTATTGCAAAGGGAGAGGTTGCATTTTGCTTCGTCAGAGGACACCAGTACCACGTCCTCATGGGCGGTGAGCTGTTAAAGCCCCTGCAGCCACTGCAAGAGCAGCTTACTTCTGCCCCTGTTATGGGCAGGACTTGCCAATGATACCTGCATACAGCAGCTGGTTTTAGACCCCTCAGTGCACATGTAGATCAACAGGGCACAGCTCTTCCCTCTCTGCATGGTGGTAGGAGGCCAAAGAAGAACTGACAGCAGCTCCTACATCTCACATCCAGGAAGCACTACGAAGAGGAAGGGGGCTAGAGCCCTGTGGTGCCCTATGGTTAATTCCTGGTGTCCATCATAGAGTCTCTGTTCCCCTAATGCACCCATAGCCTCCAAAGTGTGCAGGGTGTCCTCCTTCGCAGGGCTGAAGGAGGGCATGAAGTGTGAGGTGGTGGCTTTGTGTCAGCCTCAGCAGCAGTGGGGTGCAGAGCATGAGGTGCCTTGTGATGAACTTCTCTTTGGCTTGTGTTTTGTGATGAACTTCTCTTTGGCTTGTGTTGTCCCAGTCCCTTGGATGGGATCCTAATCTCCTGGAGAAATGCTTTGGTGCAGATCACAAGGGTGTAGATGCATGGAAGAACAAAGCCCAGGGAGTAGCTGATGGCTTTTTTGGGGGCAGAGAGTGAGAGCTGACCCACGGGTGGCACACAGAGCAGAGTGGCCACTGGAGCTGCAGTACATCCTCCTCCCCTGCTATACGACATGAGTCCCACGTGCTCAGCCTCTAATGAGCCACGTCAGCCCTGCGGGGTGCTTAGCCCCAAGATCTGGATGTTCAGCTTTGGGGTGATCCAGGGCGGGGAGCAGCTCAGGAGGTGTCTATGGGCACGTGTCAGCAGGCAAGCAGCAGCTCTAAGCACCACGGGGACCTGCCAGGGACTGCAGTGGGAGGCCATGGCAGAGCAGGGACCCAGCCCCGGGCTCCTGAACCACTTTCCTCAGCTCAGCCTCCTGTTTCCTCCTCTAATGCCTGGGTGCAACTCCAGAACCCAGGTCCAAGCCCTCCTCTGGGTGATCATAGTCTCTCATCTGTGAGAAAGACCTCAAGCGCTGCAGCACGGCTGCCTTCAGGAGGCTTGGGGAGACGTGCCAGGCTGAAACAAGATGAGCCAAGATGAGCTGCCCTCACACTGTCCCCGAGAGTGGCAGCGCTCTGGCACCTTTGCTCTTGCAAACCACTTGGCCTGGGAGATAAGGGAGGGAGTTACAAATGGCAAAGTGCATCTCAGAGGATGCCAGCAGGCTGTTGATTGGGCTGATGGGAAATATGCTGATAGAAGTGCACATTTTATCACATCTGATTAGAGGGTTAGTGGTTACAAAGTTTAAACATTAATTTGTCCATTTAAAACATTTTTGTTCATTTAAGCATTGTGTTCTGGTACAGACTGATCATAGGAGCTGTCACCATGTCTGGGTTTGGAGACATCATAAGTGCTCTGGGGGAGTTTGGGCTATTTCAGAAATGGCTGGTAGTGCTGCTCTCCCTCCCCGTCCTTTTGACTGCTTTCCATATGCTTGGCCAAGTGTTCATGTCAGTGGACGTGCCCCATTACTGCAACACCAGCTGGATCCGGGCGGTCGACCCCAACCTGACTGAGGACGAGCAGCTGAACCTCACTGTCCCCTGGAGCACGAGTGGGGCATACGAACAGTGCTCCACATATTCACCTGTGGACTGGGACCTTGGGCCTTGGACCTTGGACCTTTAGGCCATCGTGGTGTATGGCCTAAATGCCACGCAGAACTGCAGCAACGTCTGGGTGTACCCCTCTGCACAAATGCCATCCCTGCTGACCGAGGTCTGTAATTGCCTTCTGACGCTCTGGGGACCTGGAAGCGATAGGCCACCCAAATGGCCACCCTGTCCTGTACTTTAGTCTGTGCCATTGACAGCCGTAGGGTGGCCAGGCTGAGATTTACCTCAGCCATATTTTGGAGACCTTGGCTCCATCTCCCATTGCCCAGATGTGGCCCCCCAGGAGGTTGTATGCAAGCAGGCCAAGACATATATAGATGTCAAGCAGGGCCACAGGCCTAGCCGGTGAGTCCAATGTGTGCTCTGCACACCATCTCCCCCTATGCCAGCATCCAGGCCCTTGGTGCACCAAGTGTGGAGGAACCTTGTGGATGTCCCTGCTCCAGCCACCGCTCTGCAGCCTGGAGGTACCATTCCAGCTTGTCCGTCCCTGAGTACCACTTTGTGCTTCAGACACCCTGGCTGGGGGCTGAGGGGAGGGTCAGTGCTTGATTTCAGCTCCTATGCGGTGGCGGGTACTGTCAGAATGTGTGACTGTGTGATGATGACCTCAGCATCTCAGTGCAGTGACTGCAGCTCAGGGCTGTCTCAAGCAGCCTGGGTTCCTCATTGCTGTGCACTTTGTGTGGAGGTACCAAGTTTGACAAGGAGAGGAGATCTTGCAAAGCCACCCACTTGGGGGTTACCAGAAACCTCAGCAACGCCAACAAGCTCCACCGAGTAGTGCTAAATTGTACTTTATTTCAGCACTTTGTCATCTCTGTAAATTTCCTATATAGCCTCTTCCCTGGGAATCTTTTCCTATAGATGCTTTCGAGATGCAGGCAGCTACAGAACAGCTTTCCAACACAAACCACTTGGCCTGGGAAGTAGTGCTTCATATATTCTTTTCCTCCTGGAAGGGAAGGCAATCACTTAAAACAAAACAAAACAAAACAAACAGGGACACCAGCACCCCTAGTGATGGCTGGAACTGAACTAAGTGATGTGAAGAGGACTGCAGATTTTGTCCCAAGAACAGCATCTTCTTTGGCAATATCACTGCACTGAAACCTGAATTTTCCTCTTGAAAACCAGAGAAGTAAACAGCAAATGTGGCCATTTGGCAGAAAAATATCTTGTCAGGATGAAATTTCCCACCCTGATGGGGAAAGCCAGCAAAAGCCAACTTTTCTGAGCAGTAAGAGCAGGCAAAGGAGAACGCGCTGTCTCTGTGCCTCAGCCTGCCAATAGACCTCAGTGCGCATCTGCACTTTTCCTCCAGAATGGAAACTGCCCCTGGAGGCTCCCCAATGCAACACTGCTGCATGAGAGAGATCACACAGACAGACGTCTCTGCTCTGGCCGTGCCGAGGGCTTCCAGTAAAGATCTTCCTTTCCTGTTGTTTTCAGCCTAGTTCTTCCCACATCACCTTCCTTCAGGGAGAGGTTTATCTCCCAAGGGCCCTGGCTGGCAGTGGTCTTTCTGGGTCCTCCAGAGATCTTCAGGGCTGAGACAAGATGTCCCGTGGCCCCTGTGGATGAGCAAAGGCTGTATCTCTACCGGCATCCCTGACTCCTCAGGATCTCTGATCTGCTCTTGTCCTTCCTCCTTCCTCCCTTCTCCTTCCTTCCCTCTGTCCCTACCCCCAGCTTCAATCTTTCTCATGGGTACCTTCCTCTGACCTGCACCAGATGGGAGACTCCAACATCCATTGTTTCCAGGAGCTCCATGTTGTCTCTGGAATCCATTTTACCACCAAGTCAGGAGCTTCTCCAGGAGGCTCCTCGGTAGCCATCTGTTTCCAGATGAATTTCCATGTCTAAAGATGTTGTCACACTCACACATTCATGGACCAGCTGCACATTTGTGTGACTACAGTAAGGGCAGACAGGAGCTAGTACTGGGAGGACACTCTGTTATCACGGGCTGGCATCAGAGCTCAGACAGTCAGGACTCAGCTGCACGTGCAGCAGCTCATCATTTGGAGCAGGACAATAGTGTTTCCTGCTATGAGAACAGCTTGGCGCAAACATCCCCAAACTGGCTGCAAAGTCATGCTCATCTCAGGTGCTGGGAGAGCCTGGAGGCTGGGGGCTTGGCTGTGCCCCTCAGCACTTTGGACATGTTTCCTATCCTACACTGACTTTCTGCTGCTGAAATGAAAAAAAACAAGGTCAAAGCCAGCTAAAGTCTGCCTGGGCTGGACTCCAGACACCACAGGTACAACCTGTGTCTCTGCTGAAATACAATGTCCCACTCTGTGCAGCCGCTTAATGTTGCTTATGGATTTCTGAGTCTGAGTGGAAAGACTGGAGCCACAAAATGAGTCCATAGTAAAAAAGAACTGCATTTTTCCACTGTGCCTCAGGCTTTTAAGGGCAGCAAAATAACACAGTCCTTTCCGTCTTCCCTTTGCATTTCAGTAGTAAAAGAGAGGAAGGAAGAAAAGTCAGAGAGCAAACTGTGTTGGTATTTCTAAGGAAGGTTTGGGCAAAGAAATAGTCACTGCCCTTTTTGACACCTCAGCAATAAGGTTTCCAATGTGTCAGCAGAGAGCAGATTTAAACATCCCTTCTTGGTGCCCTGATCACTGCATGGGAAAACACTCCTTAAAGCAGGCCATGTGGGCTGGAGGCTGAGTGGCTGAAAGGCTAACTGCAGCCATGAGCTTGGGAAACCACCTGAGAGAGGACATACCTCTCCTGACCTCCTTCTTGCACCCTTCCCCGCCTCTCTCAACACCTGGCTGTGGGGACAGAGGCCTGAGCCAGACTAGTGCCAGGAAGGGAGCAAGGTGCTGGGACTCTTATCCTGAATTCCCATTTAAAGCAAAACTTCCCAACCAGGAGGTTATCTCGGAGGAACCTGCTCTGGAGGGGAGTCCTGCAAGTCCCAGCACTCAGAGAGGGGCCCCACAGTGAGGAGCCGGACAGAGGTCCAGTAGGCCTGTCCTGCCTCTGGCTTGTGCTGTTCATGCACATGATGGAGATGCATCCTTGGGGGTGGGATCTCCACACCCCAGGTTTGAGCAAGGACCTGGGAACTAAATCCTGTGTGCGTGTGGGGACAGCAGTGCTGCCCATCCTGATAAAGCAGTTGCCCAGCTGGGGCCTGTCGAGAGCAAAAGCAGCTGTGTTTCCTTCCTCCAGTTTGACCTTGTGTGCGACAGGAAGGATCTGAATGACATCTCCCAGGCTGTTTACATGCTGGGGCTTCTCCTGGGAGCCATGATCTTTGGGCCGCTGAGTGACAGGTGAGGAGACACAACAACCTGCCTGGAGTTACTGCCCAGCATCCAGGGATAAACCAGCATAAAGTTCAAGATGTGTCCATGCACTGAGCATGAAACATCCGCTCCATGGGTCTTGATCCCCTTGCCTGATTGAGAGCATCTTGTGACATCCGAGAGGTATATGGATGTCTGAGAGGTGACAGGAGAGGGAGACAGGTACGACCCTTGGGGGCTTCTTAAGGAATCACAGGTTGAGCCTCAGCAGGTGTCTCAGATACCCTGGGGTGTCTCCAGAGGTCCCAGAGATCTCCTTTTGGGCACAGAGTTGGACCCAAGTTCAGCTTAGTCAACCAGGCCAGGTGCCCCCTCCTTCCTGTGGCTCTGCTCAGCTCACCGTGATCCTGAGCAAAGTGCTCAGCTCCTGTGAGAGACACAGCCCCATGGCAGGGCTCACAAGGCAGAAGAACACAGCTTGTGTACAGGGTGCTTCACATGTGAACTGGGAGCACAGTCCTTTTCAGGCTGATCCTCAGGGACCTCAAGGGAGAGGACACAGAGTCTCTTCAAAGGTAGCTTGCTTTAGCAGCATCTCCTTTGCCAGCACAGCATCTGGTCAGAAGGTGCGATGCCGTTCTTCCTGCCTGTTCCTTTCTGGGGTGCTTTTAGAAGCTTTCTTCACCCAGAGTCTGGATTTCCTTAGGTGTGAGTGGTCCCCAAATCAGTATGTATCCCATTGATCTCTTCGCCATGCTCATGGGATCTCTCCACATGCCATCTGTGTCTTCTCTCTTCCTCCACAGGATGGGTCGCCGGCCTGTCATTCTGATCTCCATCCTCATCCAGGGTTTATTTGGTGTTGGAATTGCCTTTGTGCCGCATTTCTATGTATACATGGCCTTCAGGTGTGTCGTGGGAGCTTCTGTGTCAGGGATAACCATGACGATATTGGCCTTAGGTGAGTAGGATGTCCTTGCTCTGAGGCAGGAAGATGTGGTCTCTCAAGATGCAATAGAAAAAGGGACATAAAAGTTCATCCTGCGTGTATTGCAAAACTCCCTCCCAAATGAACAGCTCTGCAGTGGGCCTGTTCCCCCTCTCCCAGGAAAGGCAAATTAGGGAAGCCAACCCTGCAAAACTGGTATGAAGCTGAGTGCAGCGAGACCGCATCTCAGTGAGAAGATGGCCTTAGACTTCAAACAGAAGTTCTAAGTGGCTGCTAGCAGGTGACACAGCCCTGGTGAACTGGGTTGTGGGGCCAGGACTGGAGCCCCCTTAGCAGGGGTTGCTGTCAGCCCTTGACTGGAACATGCACGGCTTGTTTCTGTGTGCAGAGCTTACTGTCAGCAGTTCCACCATTTTGCTGGGCCATTTCAAATGCTGTCTGGGTTAAGGCAGACGAAACCCAGCTGCAACATCCCTACTTGCAGTTCTCTGCTGCTGTGTCACTTTGCTCCTTTTCACTGGCAGGTCTCAATGACTCTTTCAACTGAAGTATGCAGCAATGAGAAGGTTTTATGCCCATTTCTCAAATGGGTACTTTGTGGCACTGAAGTATCTCGTGAAATGGGACTTGAAGGTTTATGGGCAAACCTTGAGTCACCTCTGAAAGTCCTGACCTCAGGCTTTGTGGAGACCAGGGACCCCCAGAACCCCTCACTGAACGTGCAATGACCGAGGCCTTCCAAGGGACAAGTAATTTTATAATATGAGCAGGACAGTCACTGTGATACGTCTCAGTGGCTCCTGAAGTGGGTTTATTCAGAGGGTGATGCAGAAGGGTGGGGACAGGTCTGTCTTTGAACTGCCCTTTGGCACTTCTGCCTCTCCCCAGTGCAGAGTGAGAGCCATGGATAGTCTCTCTCCTATGCCAGTGCTCAGATGGGGGCAATGTAAGCACCTCTTACTGCTCCACCTCAGGTTATTAATGTAAGGAGAGAGCCCAGTGGCTCTGGGATGCAACTGGCTTGGGCCCCAGCAAGGGATTTTGTGAACACTGATAGCAGAGGGGTGAGGTACATTAGCTTCACGTCCCTCTGAAAAGGTCCATGCTAGTGTGCATAACCCTGCGTTGGCTGTCAGAACAGACCAAGTCTCCAGAGAGGTGCAGCAGCTCACACAATGCTGATGATAATTCAGATGTGTGTCCGACACCAGAGTTCTGACGACTGATTTCTTCTCCTGACCTACTAGAGAGCTCTTTCCAAGGGGAGCATGCTGTTTGGATGAGGGGAAACCATTCACACTGATGGCCCTAAATCTTTGTTCTTTTCAGCTACAGAATGGGTTGGTGTCTCCTACCGGCCCCACGCAGTGCTTATTTCTCACTGCTGTTTTGCCATCGGACAGATGCTTTTGGCTGGCTTGAGTTATGGTATTCGCAACTGGAGACTGTTAGAGATTGCAGGATCTGTTCCAATATTTGCCCTTTTCTTCTACTTCTGGTAAGTGGGAGGAGGCAGAGAGCTCCTTGCAAACATGACAGTGGTGGGTGCGAGGGTTGGCAGCCAGGAGGCAGCAGCTCAGAACCATCTTGGTTGCGTCTGCCCCATTATAATGCAGATGCTGGAAGGGCTTCTGCTGAGCTCAGATCATCTCCCTGAGGCACTGACTGCTGACATCAGAAGCTGCTTTAGTTCATGCCTTTCAGTGTGCACTTTATGGCCTCAAGTTAGGCCTGGCAAGCCTGACCTGAAGAAGTATTTAGACCTCCTCAGTCACAAGTGATGCATGTTGCTTGCTGGAAGCGGTCACAGGGAGATGGGCTTTGAGGATGTTTGGCAGGCTGTGGTGGCATCTTCTGATTTCACTTCCTTGGCAGGGTCCTACCAGAATCGGCTCGATGGCTGATGACAAAAGGGAGAGTCGAAGAAGCTAAGAAGGTCCTTCAGAAGGCAGCATCCATCAACAAGCGCACCATCCCGCCAGGGCTCCTTGAGCAGGTACCAACAGTGGCATGGGGAACTGCTTGTTCTCCTGAGAGACTTGCACCTGCACTTGGTTCCCAAGTGCAGCACGTTTAAGTCGAGTCAGTAAAGGTTCAGGAAAGATGGGGTTCTGGAACCAGAATAGGTCTATAGCAATTCCTGGAGCTGAGTTCATTTGGCAATCATCTTCTCATGTGTCTTGGGGATTAATTGGGGATGGGATGTGGGTAACTCCAGCTGCAGCTGAACTTTAGGGAGAATACAAGACCAGGGAAGAGGCTTGTGGTAGTCCCAATCTCTCTATTGTCCACCTTGGGGTAGGCAGGGGACCTATATGCTTCCCTGGCGTTTCAGCAGTGAGGGCTGCACCAATGTCAAGGAGGAGCAGGAGCTGTCTCTTGAAACTCTGATTTGCCATGAATCAATGCCTAAATGGGGTTCTCCTCCCTGCCCACCCCAAAGCCCCTAGACTGAGAAGGTTTGTCCTGAGAAAGCTCTGAAGCACCAAACTCTTGCACTGAGTACCCAGACCATAGTGATGGGACCCCAGCCCCACTGGGCTGCCATTCCCCCCAGAACAGTTTGGGATCTCAAGCCTATCCTGTTGAAGCAGGAGGAGTCTTTCTTTGACATCAGTAAGAAAAGGAGTTGGCTATGGGTTTCCTTTCTCTGATCTGACTGAGGCTTTTTGAATTTTGAAGCTGAAGCCTGAGCAAGAGGCTAAGCCTGGGAGTACTACAGATCTTTTCCGGAAGAAGCACCTCCGCAAGGTGACTTTAATCATGTCGTTCGCCTGGTAAGATCTCCCCTTGTACCCCCTTTGCCGACTACTGGGTGAAGTGAAAACAGGATTAGAGGTTGATGAGAACTGTAAACTCACTTGGTGCTTCTGGGCTCATGTGCACGTATGTTTCTGCTTCTGCCACCTTTCTGCCATCCAGGCTGGACCAGATCCATCACCTGTGGGCCTGGGGAGAGGCTGGCTCTTCAGGGTGATGAGGGGGTTGTGAGAAAGGTTGATGTAGTCTCAGCTTTGGGTATCCCCTGGTCTTGGGGTGGTTTTGTGTCCCCATGCAAATTCTGGAGGTGGTCAAAATGTCATCAGTAGAGATCAATATTGCATTCGCTCATGGACAATATGTACGCTTAATGCCATTCTGCTCGGCTCTCAGGTTTGTGAATAGCCTTGTCTACTATGGGCTCAGTCTGAACGTGACGAACTTTGGGCTGGACATCTACCTGACGCAACTTGCCTTTGGAGCAGTGGAAATCCCAGCTCGTGCCTCTTGTATCTTGTTGCTTCAGTGGTTTGGGAGGAAGAAATCCCAGGGTGTTCTCCTGCTGCTGGGTGGTCTGATGTGTCTGATCATCACTGGCATCCCCGAAGGTGAACAACCTCTTCCCATTCCAGGAGCACAGCCTCTGAGGGAGGAGGCTGCAGAGCCCTTACTCTTTCCTTCCATTCCCAGTCCAGTCTCTGTCCTCCCAGCCTGCCTAGCTGCAGTCCCACACTCTCTCTCAGGGTTTGGGATGCCTCTAGGGCCATGGTCCCAAGGGGCTGCACTCCTGATGTGCTGGCTTCTTCTCAGCATGACTTTCTTCTCATTCAGAGCTGTGCCTGGCCCCTCAACAGCTCCCTGCCCTTGGCAGGCAGGGCCCATTACGCTCCACCATCTCCTCTCAGGGAGATGCAGAAGATAAGGCATTTAAAAGCCTAGTAAGTTACCCTTCTTTAAGTGAGCAGGAAAAAGAAATAACCTCTTCTCTGTTTCTCTCCATTCTTTGCCTGCACTCCATACCATTGCCCCTGCTGCTGTGCTAGTGCTGCAAGTGAGGGTCAAGGAAAGAGAAGAGATACAAGATGCTTTTAGGGTCCCTGGCATCATATTTCCAGCTATACACTTCCCAAAGAACTGGAGTGACTCACTCTAGTTTCAGGCTTTCAAAAATCCAGGGACCTTGCTGCAGAGCCAGGGACTGGAAGTAACCATCAATAAACTTCCCACCTCAGCATAGGTGGGCTAGGAAATCTGGGTTCTGCTTACTAGTTACCCAGAAGGTATTTTCCCAGAAAGGGTGTATTGGGAATAGTTTCCAATAGCTTAGGGGGTAGATTTGCTTGGAAAATCCGTTGGACTTGGCTATCTGACTCTCATAATCCTAGAAATCTCTTTGCAAAGGCTGAAGACCTTGTCTGAACCTGCCCCAGCTCCAGGGATGTCAGCTCTGTGGTCATGTCACCACAGCAGTATGAGTCCTCCTGCTCTGTCTGCTTTCTGGAAAGGGGAGGATGTAGCTCATCTCATACCACTCCTGTATGAGCAGCTGGGATTCCTCATCCCATTAAAGCACCTTTCTGTCCCTTATTGGCGATCATGGGGGAAGCCTTAGGGAACGGGTCTCCTCTGTGATGAGGGAGTCCATCAAGACGCTGTCCTGTGATGTGAGGCATCCCTTCCACCTCTGTGTGATTCCCAGTTATATTTCCTGACTTCAAGGCCGAAGAGGCTGCCTTGCTGCTAGCTCTTTGAACTGCTTCCTTTCCAGCAGTGTTATGGGTGCAGCAATGGCCAGTGCCAGCTTCTCCCCTAGTGGGGATTTCCCCGGAGCAACAAACCTTTCCTTTGCTGGCTGCATCCGGAGAGGAGAGGGCAGAGCCCTCAGGGCATTGGACCACCCACTGGGAAAGGGTTTCCCTCTCAGCGTATTGATGTCTGGGGTGGTGAGATGAATGCAAAGTGGCATGAAGGTGGTCCTCAGACCAGAGCTGTTCTTTGGTTCAGATTCAGGCACTGTTTAGAGGTGATGTCTCCCTGTGTGGTTTGCACTTGTGTCCAGGTGTCCCACTGCAGCCCTCATCTGAGGTCTGAGCAGTGCTGGGCACCCCTGCCACAGCAGCCACCTCTTCTCCACTCAGATCTGCCTGTGGTGATCACCGTCCTGGCCATAATTGGGAAGTTTGCCACCTCAGCCTCCTTCTCCACCTCTTATGTGTACACGGCAGAGCTGTTCCCCACCGTTGTCAGGTGAGATTTCTCCCCGTTCCTCTCCCCAGGGCTGGATGCGACCCTGACCTAAGTGGTGGGAGGATGGACATGGTGCTCCTTGAACCAGATCCCCTTCGTGTGCCCCAGTGCACCGCATCTGGTGCTAATGGAGCTCTTCGTGCCCCTCCACCCGGAGCATTGTCAGAGCAATATGATGGAAACTGCAGGGTTGCGGTGATTGCGCCACCTCGGCTCCAGTGACGGAGGGGCCCAGGGGGCCAAGGCATGGCCTGCGCCTCCCGCCACCCCCGCTCCCACCCCACAGGCAGACCGGCGTGGGGCTGTGCTCAATGTCAGCCCGGCCGGCGGGGGGGCACCC